CAGACGTGAGGACCTTAAGAAGGGAACCTGCCTGGTGTGTGCAGCATCTCTGAAAGCCTCAGGCTAGGTGTCTGCGGAGAAAGAAGAGATGGAGTCAGAGGAGTGACTAGGACTAAATCATAGGAATTTTTAAGGCAGTGGTGAGAGTCACGGGAAGGTTTGATGTAAGGGAGTGATATTGTCAAAAAATCTCTGACTTAGCTGATAAAAGGATTACCCTTTTTTGGTAATAATAATTATGATGGCACAGATTTGGTCCTCACAGGTGGATAGGCTGGATGAACTTGGGTAGGTAATGTCCGTTTCTGTGCCTAGTTTCCCAGATCATAAAATGAAGGTATAGAAATTGATGCTCTCTAGTGCCTAAGCTCAATGGGAGAGAGTCGCTGTCATTCCCAGCACCTAGGACAGTGCCCGGGAATATGTAGACCTGGGCTGAACTTTGCAATGAATACAGGGCTCGTAGGTCGCTGAAGTTCTAGAAATGAACAGCAGGTGGCGCGCCAGCCCTATTACGGCCTGCCTGGAGCCCCCGGGACTGAATTATAAACCAAACTAGCAGGAAACCTGCTCACTCGAATTCGGATTTCTCAGGGAAGAGAATGCCCACTCATAAGTCCCTTCTCTTAAAACACTAAGATCTCATTTGGCAAAGGGACTCCTGGTCCTTTAACGATAGAGGCCCCCGGGCCTACTCTTCGGGAGGTGCTTCCCAGAATGCACGGCGTTATGCAAATAAGGCGGTTTCCAAAAGGCCGATGATTCATGTCACAAAAAGGCAAAGAAAACACGTTAGAGAATAACTGTCATAATAAATCCTGGAGGAACTTGATATCTACTGAAATCAAGAATCTTACACTTGCCCATATTATGTAACCATAACTGTAAAGGAATTTGAATACTTGGTTTTTATATACCTGCGCGGGAAGTTGTGTAGCTTGCCCGAATGATCCTCAGTGGTCTGGGGTGCAGGCTTCAAACCTGTAGCTGTCTAGCGACAGAGTGGTTCAATTCCACCTTTCGGGCGGGGCACGTTCACTTTCCTTTATCTCCTGGACTGTACAGCAAACTATGGCTTCTGGGAATTTTCTGCATCAAAATTTTCCAATGATTACATCCCCACGTGCCCCGGGAATGTTAAACGCGACTCCAAGAGAATAGTTGGCTACACTTGAAGTTCATGATAGTGAGAGCTCTCGGGGTTTCTCCCCTTACGTTCATATTTAGTCATTTGCTCCCTCTCATCGTGTCTGCGCTTACTAACCGGACATGTATTTGTTCATTCATTCATTCATTCATTCATTCACTCACTCACTCACTCAACAAGTATTTGCTGAGCGTTTCCGCCCTGCACTGGGCCGTGCTGGGAAGAGTGAGGACAGCCCGGCCCTGACTTTGTGGGGCTCCCAGTTCAGTGGAAGGAACCTACAGTAAACAATCACTAATTATCCGTTTAAGTCACAGCTACGGAGGCGATACCTAGTGGGAAGGCAAACAGAACGTGTGAGGCCATCCAATGAGGAGATCTGAGCTCAGGTTGGGGTGTCAGGGTAACCCAGCAGACACATGTCAGCAGAGTGGGGACTAGCCAGCAGAATAGGGGCTATTCCAGATTGGGGTCCTCTGGTATGAAAGTGCAGACAGAGAGGTTAGCAGGGACCGGTCGCTCCCAAGGAAGACAATTAACCGTATCTTCACTCCGTGGGCTCCGCACATGCTCACACTCCCTTAGCCCATTCTGCAGCTGAGGAAACTGAGGTCCGCAAGGTTGAAATCTCTCTTTCAAAGTCACCCCATTTTGGTAGGCCCCTTAATGCATGCTACTTACCCCTGCCCTGGCTGTCTTCCAAGCTAGCTCCTATCAAGTGCTCTCTGTTCAATCTCCTAAAAGTCTTCCGAGTCCTTCCCTTCTCTACCAGCATCCATGACTCTAATGCACCTGCAGCATCTGGTCCCTGCTAACTCTCACCACACCTTTTGTCTCAGCCACCAGGACCCTCTGGTTCCTTCAGTGTATCACATCCTCTCTCCAATAGCCTTTTTAAAAATGTTTTTATTTATGCAAACAAGAATTGGGGTACAGGCCTGAGATGTGGGGAGTGAGAGGATTCACCAGAGTGGGGAACAGAATAGGCGGGTTGAGTGAAATATACTGCTGAGGGGAGCAGTGGGAAGACTTCCTGGGAGAGGGAAGACCTCTCTGGTGTTCCTGTGGGTCAGCTCCCTGGCTGGGGATCAAATTCATGCTGCATTGGTATCCACAGCTTCACAGCGCTGAGACCTAACCCCCGGCACCATCAGGGAGGCTATCCAATAGCTTTCTGCATGCTCTTCACACTCAGACCTCTTCCACTGCCTTCCGTACCCACTACTTATCCTGTGGGACTCAGTTTAGCTGGCCCCTCCTCCAGGAAGTCCTTCCTGACTCCCAGACAGGTTAGGTACCTCCAGTGGCTCCCACAGCCCCTGTGGATTCTCCCAACCCTCTCCACTTTGGATCATTCCTGACTGAGAAAAGTCGGTTCCCCCATTGGACAGTGGCCGCTAGGAGCAGAGAGCCTCTGGTTTTCTAATCTCTGGTGTCCCCAGTGCTGCCCAGCACAAGGCTGGGCGCACGGTAGGTATTTAGCAAGTTGCGAAAAATAATTACTAGACGCACATGACTATCGTGACCACTTACCCTGCTTATTTACTACTAAGGCAATTGAATGACTTCTAGTGCAGCACTTTAATTCCCAGCATGCTTGCTACCATGCAAATACGAGAGGGCTTGCATTTTCCAAAGGGGTTGGCTCAGCCATCTCTCTGGATTGAGAAAAGATGCAATGTATTCGGTGTAGCCGATCTTGGATTGTCCCCAATGTGTTCATAGCACGAAAGAAGGAGTCATGTGAAAAAGCCAAGGAAACGCATCTTCAGTGCAAAGTGATTCACATTCTGTATAATCCCCATCATCACTGAAGTGGCCTCCAGCTGCTTGCTGTGAGTAATCTGCCAGCTCTCACTCGCACCTACAGTCTTGCCTAAGTTTCTTCACCTGGAAGGCTTCAGCATTTTGGGCTACACGGCTCGTAGGTAGAACGCTGCTGCCTGACTGTTCCCAGGAGACCTCTGCAGTGTTGTTCCCCACCTTGCAGGACACCCAGAAATTTAACTTCGGTCCCTCCTGCCGAAAAGAAGGCAGGTGATTGGTGTCAGGAGAAAACAGATGGAAGGCCTGGTAGGTGCAATTTAAAGAGCTTTTTATTGGCGACAGTGCAGAACCATGGGGGGAGAGTGGCAACCCACTGCCAGGCAGCCCTCAGCCCCTCCGGATCAGGTGCAAAATACAAAAAGAATCACAAATACAGCAGGGAGTGGAGATGGGGTGAGGGGTCAATACATTTTGGTTGGCAGGGGCAGGCCCTGCTCACAGTCTTACACTTGCACCCCAAATTCTCAAAAATACAGTTTGTAAAAAATCAATGATCCCTCAGGCTTACTCACAGAAAATAAAATCTCATGTCCCCAATGAAGCCAGAGTCTGGACTCAGCTAGTGGCCCAGCGACAGTCAGAGATGAGACAGAGGGAAATAGGTTAAAAACAGGCAGAGAAAAGATGGAGGGAGAGACCCTCAGAGAAAGACAGCCAGAGACAGAGAAAAGACAGGCTGACGAAGTTTCCAGAGCAATAGCTCCAATTCACTGGCGCACTTGGAGGGCCAATGGAGGAGATGGCAAAGCGTTCACACACTCACACGCACGCGCACACACCCATATATAATATATTTATTTATACATAATAGATATAAGTGCCTTTCGGAGACCAGGAAAGGGATAAATAGCGACGAGAAGGGTCTGAGTTGGGCAGGGGCGGTGGGGCGGGCAGTGGATTGTCTTCCATGCAGCTGGGAGGGCCCAGTGGGGGCCCTCCAATTTGTGAAAAAATATCATTTTGCCTCATGATAAAACCCTCATGAGGGGGAGCACAAGGAAAGGCAGGATGGGGAGTCAAAACCAAGATTTGGGGCTGGCGGGCAGGGAGGGCTTGGGACTGCCGGGAAGCTGGGTCACAGGAACCCAGCCCCTGCAGGTTTGCCAGTCCAAAAAAGATTGGGGGACAGGGAGAGGGAAGCCTCAGCCTTGAAATCTCCAGAAAATGGCGAGTCCCCTGGCTGCTTCCCCTGGCTGCCTTTGTAGAAAGGTTGGGGGAGGCCGAGGGGAGGGAGAAGCTGGCGTCCTAGGCTGGGGCAGGGAGGCCTTAGTCAGGAGGCCAGGGCTTGGGGGTCCTGAGGAGAGAGGCCGCGGGGACACATAACTGTTATCCCCTCTCACCCCCTTGAATCTGTTGAAGGGAGGGGAGACCTTAAAGGAAAGGCTTTGGGGAGTGGGGGCGCAATCCCTCTGGGAGGGGTCTGTTTCACCCCACCATCCGTCCAACTCAATTTCACAGTATAAAAACACCCCAACACCGCAGGCATCGCAGCGCCCCCTGCTGCCTGCATCAGAGAGGCCCAACAAGGAAGGCCAGGCTGGGGGGCAAGGGGGAGGCTGGAGGAGGCGGGAGGGGTGGGGGCTTAGGATAATACTGTACTGGGAAAGGAGGCCTGGGGGGTGGAGCTGGGGGATCCTCGGGAGGTGAGAAATTCAGATCAGAGCCAGTTTTGCTGGGGTGGGGAACAGTCAGGAAGGGCGGTTCACATTTCTGATTAAGGGGTGGGGGCGGAAGGAGACTGTCATAGGGGTATCGACTTCCCTTTAATGGGAGGCTCATGTCAGAGGAGGATCTCACCACGTGGAAATGTGGGATACATAAACTAAGGGGGGTAGGCTGGGAGAACCAGGCAGGTCACCCCCCTGCAGGATGGGTGTGGGGATATTGCAGGGTGTCCAGGGGCTGTATTATTTCCTTGTTGGGCCTCTCTGGAGAGGGCTCCAGCCCACCCCACAGCCCCCAACCTCCCGCGCCCGCACCCCTTTCCCTCCAGCCCAAAGGTGGGCATCAGCCACCCCCCACCCACCCATCCCCAGAGGTTGGGTTGCAGCGACGTGGCCAACAGGCAGCCCGGGGTGTCCATCCCCTCCCACCCCCTAACCCCAAAGTCACCAGCTCTCTGGCCTCGCCGGGGCCGCAGAAACAAGAGGCGGCACAAAACCCAAGGGTCCTCCCGTGGACGGCAGGGCGGAGGGTCAGACAACAGGGGCCACGCAGCCCGCTTTGTCTCTTCCCCTCTCTCCTCCTCCTCCTCTTCCACATCTCTCTCCCTTGTGTGTGTTTTGTTTTGTGTCTAAAGAGTTCACAGAGCGAGAAGGGAGGGCGAGTTCAGGGGGTCGGAAGGCTGGTCACTGCCGCTGGGGCGTTGGCCGGCGAACGCGGAGACCTCCGGGCAGGTGAGGACAAACGAGGAAGTGTACGAAGGGTTAACAACGGGGAAGGGGTCGCCGAGGACTTGAACTTCACTGTGTGTAAAGAGAGAAGCTGTCAGGTTGGGGGGTGCGTCTTGGCTGGTCTGGAAGGGCAGGGGCGGTGGTGGCGGGGGCGGCAGCAGCCAGCCGAAACCATCTTCCTTAGTGGATGCTGACCCCGGCAAATCTCTCACCTCCGCCAGGGGGCCAGGGCCCGGCCCCTCTTCGTAGGGGATCTTGCAGCCCGGTTTGTGGGCCACCAGCACAAACTCCAGACGCTCCTTCTCCTTTTGGAGCTCGGCGATCTCGGACTCCAGCTCCGCCTTTTCTTCTTCCAGCTGATCTGTCTCCTGAGGCCCCACGGCCAGGTCACGCAGGACAGGGAGGAAGGAGAAAGATGATGAGCCACTAGTGAAGGTGAGTCACGGCCCAGCCATCTCCCCTAGCGTTGCTGAGGCTGGGGGTTGGAGGGCGGTTCCCCTTTGGGGGGAAGGCCCCCGTTGGGTTCTTGGCGTTTGGGCTTCGGCAGGGGTTTTGCTTTTGGGGGGGTCTCACAGCCCTGTCTGTTCAGGGGACAGGCGGCTGAGAAAGCGCCATTTGCCTACAGAAGCCTCCAGTTGCAGGGGGCAGGCAGCGTTTGTTGAATGAATGACTGATTATGATGTGGTTTTGGTCTCCTGCTCCCCTCTGTTACTCCCCCACCCTCCTACCTCCTGCCTCCCAGGAAAGAGACCAAATGAAGCAGGAGAGGGGGGATTTTCCCGGCTTCCAGGGGCAGTGTATAGGAAACACGGAGACCAGCACAGGATTAAAATGGGGGCAGTGGGGAGCGACCTGGGCGGCTCCCACCAGCTCCAGGTCTGAGAATACAGGTGGCAGGTGGTGGTAAAAGGACACAAGACATGGGGGTTTCATTTCACAGACCCCCCCAGACCGATCAGGTTTGGGGAAGCATGGGAGGTTGGGTGAAAAATGGAAGAGATGGAGAAAATGAGGCAAAAATGGATTCTCACCCGTCCAGGACCAAAATAGACCAAACGATGCTAGTCAGTATATCAAAGTTCCCTCCTGAGACACCTTAAGCTGAAGTGAGGGCCAGGAGAGAGGTGTGGGGGGCGTGGGGGGGCCATAAACCGGGCCAGAGAGTAGCCCAGAGTGGACATAAGCACTTAAGTATGTCAGAGCGTGTGCGCCTGCCTGCTTGGCCACCATCTGGCCACATCTGTACCCTAGTTCCATACGTGGAGCCTCTGGTGCTCTGCACAGGATAAGGGCACAGGTGTGGGGGGACCTGGGGAGCGGGCCCCTTGCAGCATCCCTTCACCCCACGCTGGGTACCATCCTTACCGCCTGGAGCCGGTCAGTCAGCTCCCTCCGACGGTTCCTGCACTTAGCCGCCGCAAGTTTGTTTCGTTCCCGGCGAACTCGCCTCTTCTCCTCTTCCTCTGGCGTGAGCTGAACAAGGTGGACAGAGGCTGTGAGCAGTGGGGCCATGGGGCACGCCCTCCAGCCATTTCTGCCTCTTCTTCCCTAAACCCCCGGGTCCGGAAAGGGACCCCCTGGTCCCCACTGATGGTGCAGGGATGCCAGGATTTCTTCAGCACCCAGTGACCCTCGCCCCACTAGTGAGAAAGTTCCTGTCTCTTGTTTCCTCCCAGCGCCCCCCCAACAAGTGCTGATGCCCCTTACTCACCGTCTCCTCTCGGGGTCTCCGAGGCCGGGCGCGGGCCGGGCGCACAGGCCCAGGTCCGCCTGGGGTCCCGCTGGTGGAAGGCCCCCCACTGCTACTAGCTGCACCGCTGCTGTAGCCACTCATGCCGGGGGTGGAGTAACTGGTGCCCGGCATGTCGTAGGGGTCGACAGCCGGGGGCTGGGAGGCCAGTGGTTGCCCCTGGGACTGGGCCATGGAAGAGATGAGGGTGGGTTGCACCAGCCACTGGAGGTCCTGGCTGGTTGTGATCGCTGTGACCGTGGGCACGAAGGAACCGGGCATTTCCCCGAGACCGGCGCACTCCTACGGGGTGACACATACACACACAGGCGTAGACACACAAACAGAGACACCAACACACGCCCCCCCGACACACATACACACACCGACCCTGTGAGTGAGCACAGGGCGAGCGGGTGTGGATGTGTGTGTGTCACAGGCAAAAAGCCACAACACCCACCCTTCCACTACACCGTGACGCAGTGGTTAATGAGAGGATTTCTCTCAACTGCCTTCTACCTCCTCCTTCCTCCGGGAAAGGTTGAACAGTTCCAGCGGGTGGTGAATCACACCCTGGGTTGGTGACTCTTAGGTGTGGGGGGGTGGGGGGGAGGCCGGACACAGCCGGGTAACAGAACCCCCGGGACGGAGTCACAGCCACACACACAGTCACACAACACCCCACCCCCACCCCAGAAGCAAGGGGAGGGAGGAGAGACCTCAGGCCAAGCTTGCTCTACACTCACACACACCCTCTGGGTGAAGGGGATGAGGGATCGGAGGGTCCATGAGACCCCCCTCGCAGGGGCGGGGTCTCGGTAACAAGGGTTTGTGGGGGACGGACGGGGTGTTGAGAACGATTTAAGTAATTGTCTCTTCCCAGAGGGAGAGTGGCAAATGACAAGTTAATGTGGCAAACAGGTAGAATAAAGTGACGACCCGGGCTCCCCAGACTGTTGCGCATGGGGGAATGGTGTAGGTCCTGAGACCCCAAGTCCAAACAGCAGTCGTCTCCCCCCACCCCCAAATGGAATCCTAGAACTGCTCAGGCTTAACTACTCTCCCAGGGGGCGTGGTGAGGGATGGGCTGGGACACTGGCCAATCGGAGTCCTGGAAATCCAGAGGGGGCGGTGCTCCCCGGGAGCACCTGGCTGGCTCCCCTAGGGTAAGCGGTTCTAATCCGATGTTCGGACACTCGGGAAGGGTCGGGGGACCGGAGCAGGGGCAGCGGGAGTGTGCCTGGAGAATAGGGTGGCAGCCGCCATGTCTCCCGAAGAAAACCCGGCACACAGACACCCTCTGGCCCTGAGACGTAAGGGACCGGATCCCGCAAGGTCGTCCTGGACCCCCTGGGCTTTTTTCACGTTAGGAATCCCTCGCTTTGCCTCTTAGAGGTCCGTAAAAGAGATCGCAGCGCCAAGGAACTACGAGTTCCGGGGACACAGCGGGGGAAGGGAACTGCACCCTACAAATAGGAAGGGAAAGTTGATTGGCCATAGCTCGCGCCGCAGCGACCAATCAGAACGCCGGGCTGCCCCCTCCCTTAGCAACGTGGCCCCGACGTTCCAAAATAGAAAGCTCCCGGGACGTCAGGGGCGGGGCGGACGAAGGGGGCGCCGCGCGCGCTGTGCGTGCCCCGCGTCAGACGGAGGGTTCCAGCGCGTCAGTCGTTACGCACGGGTCCCCCGTTACGTCTCCGCGCAGTAGGCGGACGCTGCGCCTCCAAGAGAGGGTTCGAGGCCCGCTTTACCGCTGGCGTGCGGGCGACCCGGCGCGGGAGTAGACTCTCTGATGGAGGAGGTAAAAGGAGGAGGCTACTGGAAGCTTCCCCGGGATTTCCCCTACCTGCCTAACAGCACTAGCTTCAGGTTGGAAACCGGATCGGGGGCAGTCCCGGAGCCGGCTAAAAGTTCTCAGCCCTGCTACCGCATACACGTTGCACTCATCGGCTCAGTCTCCCCACCCCCAAGCTTACCCCTCTGTGTTCCCTCCCTGCGCTCCACGCGCACAACCAATTGCAAACGCGTCCCGGTCCTGCAGTTTGCAGAGTGCACTGTAAGCCTATTCCCTCTCAGATCCTGGGTTTAGAAGAGACTTTGGAGTAAAGGGATTGCTCGCGCCACACTGGCCTTACAAAATGAAAACCCACAAAGCAGCTCCCCGACCCTCTAGAACTTACCTGGGAGGCGGCGGCGGTGGGTGGACTGCCGAAGGAGTCCACTGAAGACAGATACTGAGATTCCGCGGAGGGTGAGGAGCTGCACCGCGAGCCGGAGTCGTAGTCTCCGGGGAAAGCTTGAAACATTTCCCTGGGCACAGGGGGGCCCCTGTGACCACGCTGCGGTCGCCGGGAAGCCAAGGCTATGGCCGGGTGGGAGAAGAAAAGTGCGAGTCCGGGGTGAGCCAAGCGCGTCCCCAAAGTGAGCTGTCCGGAGAAGCTCGGGGAGAAGGAAGCGTCCCGCTCCAAACAATGGCTAAGTTTCTGTGCAATTCCTCTGCGGTGCCCAGGCCCCACAGGATGCCGCGATGTCTCCTGAAAGTCCAAATTCCGTAGGACCCACGAGCGTGGGGGGATCGCTCCCCCAGACGTGGAAAGCACTCTCCTGCTGTACCGAATCTGCTTCGGGTGCGGTCTCGTCCACGCGTCCGGCGGGCCCCACAGGGGGAGGGGAGTAATGAAGAAGAAAGTAAGTCGGTCCTCCAAAACAAAATGTAGAATTAGCTAGAAAAATCCTTCCAAAAACTTTCTCTCCGGAAAAAAAATATCAAGCCGAGTCTCACAGTCCCCAAGAAGAAGAACCACAACAATCAAGTCCCCAAGTCCCAGCCTCGCGTGCCCCTGCCGTGGCCGTAGCGCCTCTGTCTTATGAATGAAGCCCGAAGCCGCCAGCCTGTATTTATGCCCGGGACCGCCCCCCCCCTGCTGACGTCACTTGCCGGTGGCTCCACAAACTTCCCCAAATCTCTGGCCTCGCAAAACCGAATCCCGCGCCGTCCGGCGACAAGTCAGTTCTCGCCTGCATCTGGCCCCCTGTTTCACCCTTTGGGCCCCGGGGGTCTCGGGGGCTGCGTTCCAGGGCACTCGGCGGGAGGGGATCCCGGCCCCGCCTCCCCGGAGTTCCTGTGACGCAATTAGCCATATAAGGAGCTCGGCCCGCGCGGCTGAGTGTTTGTTTGGTATCCTAGCAATTACGTCAGAGGGAATCCCTCGCTCACCGGCGCTAACCCTTGCGAGCTTGCGGAACCCGCCCGCGCCTGCGCAGTGCCGCGCCGCCCCGGGGGCTGGTAATAATAGGTGTTTAGACCAGCCCGGGGAAGGCCAGGGGAAGGACCAGGGCTGGGAAGATCCCAGCTCGCGGGTCTCTCACGTCTGACCACCTTTCCCAATTCTCCCGATGATGCAGCGCCCCCACTCGAGAGGAAGGTCAGATCCCCTGGCCAGCGTGGTGCTGCACGTAGGTGGGGAAACTGAGTCCCGAGCGAGATGGGAGGGGCCGTGACGCTCCAGGTGAAAGTGGAGGTGGAGTCCGGAGGCTCCTAATAGCTTTTGACCTGATTTCCTGTGTGAACTGCTGAGCTGCTGCTTCGATTTTCCCAGCTGGATAAAGGATGATGATCTTGAGCCTTGCTGGCCCCCGTCCTGGCGTTTGGAGGGGATGGGGAGTGAAACAGGGTGAAGCGACAGTGCTGATGGTATTGGTGACCTCTCCTTCCTGCTTTGTAATCCTGCAGCAGACAGAAGCAGGTGGGAAGGGGAATTATTATTATTGATAATGGTGTGATTATCTTTATCATCATCGTTTTGGTGTCATGCATTTAGCACTTCTCACCTGCCAGCTCCTGTACTGAGCCTTTCAATACAAGATTTGTAAGCCTAAAAAAAAAAAAATTGTAATCCTTACGTCCACGTTGGAAGGTTAAGGAAGGAAACTGCATTTGATTAAAGAGGAAAATGATACTTGGAGAGATGACTTGGCCAAGAGCCCATCCTGAGAAATTCAAACTCAGAATTGTCAGACTCACAGCTCTTACTCGCCCTGATTTCTAAGAGCTGTCTGCTTCAGAGAAACTCCCTGAAAACCCTAAAACTTGGGACAGTTTACATGACGGTGGGGGGAGGGGTCTCAGCAGTTTTCTGCTTATCAGGAGAACACAGCTGTGACCCAGGCCCAAACACTGCTTACCTAGCAACACCCAGTTAGGAAGTGGGGTTCAAGCATCTAATCCCGGTAATTGGTCATCACAGCCCCCATCACCTACTGGGAAGGGTCCCACCAGCTGCTTCACAACTCTCAGAGGTCAGGCAGTTACTTCCTAATGCAGAGCCTGGGAGCCTGACTGAGGGGTGTTTTAAAATTGCTGAATCCCTGTGGTCCAGAGAGGGAGAGGTGCAGGGTCACACAGCAGGTCTGAGGTAGAACAGGAGAGGTGGTTCTTGATTCCCTTCTCCACAATGGGGAGGGGCAGGGAGATGCAGAAGACTAGAATGGTCATGAGGTGTAGGTTAAGGTTTCCAGACAAAAGCCCGTCTCAAGCCCACGCTGCACCTCGTTCTCCCACACCCCTCTGTCTGTCACCTGTCTGGAAATAAGAGAGGGACTAGGAGATGACACAGCAACCACCACAGGCAGTGACTGGGTCCAGCATCAGACAGGGGAGGGGCTCCTCCTCCCCTGTGCCACCCAAGCCCCTCATCTTCTTTCCAGTAGAAAAGAGGAGACATTCAAATACCTGCCCTGGAGGCCAAAGGCCTTCAGACCCCACACAAGGGCACAAACACCCACATAGTCACTGGCAGTTACTCACAAGCCCTACCGCACAGGCTTCAAGCATTCACCCGTCAGCAGCAGCACAGATGGACACACCGAGGCAAACACCTCTACATCCATGTGACACACGCACGCACATACATGCACACGTGCGTATTACACACCTGTCACAAGAGTGAATTCTCCCAGAGCATCTATATTTACTTACTTCATTCTCGCTAGCTCTTCTCAGGTAAAAAGTATCATTTTATAGACAAGGAACTGGGGGCCCCTGGGAAGTGCAGTGACTTCCTTGGGGTCCCACAGGAAAATTCGTGGCAGAACTGGGATAAGAAGGCAGCAGGTAGGACTTCAGAGCTTGTGCCTGTGATGCGTAGCGAATGAGTTATATATGTCACCACAGCCACACGCAGATGGTCATGCGGATGCATTTGCCCCCACAACAGGGAGGCCCAGGACCTAGGTGGCCTGAGCTTCCATTCCGACCTCACCAGTTAGTAAGTGGGTGAACCTGAACTGGTGAGCTCTAGAACCTCACTTTCCCCACTGGGGAGGTAAGTGCCTAGCCTCTGTGGCTAGTGGAAGGACTGCGGGACTGCCTGGCACATTGTAGGGGTTTCTTTCATTATTAAAAGAGAGCTACACTTTGTAGGTACAGACATCCTAGAGATGTCAGCTGGAAGCAGAGACATGCAAAGTCATTTTTAATATCATAATTATAATATAATGATTAATACAACTTTTGGGGCCTCGGCACTTTTGCCTTCCTGGGCCTCTTCCTCCAAAAGGGCATTTTTAAAATGGTATTTCCTGACTGTGTTAATCTAAAGACAGTATTATAGCTCAATGCATTTTAGAAGTTCCACTTTCTTATCAGATTTTCAGAGAATGTCACTTTCTGTGCACCCCTATAATGATTATGGGTCTAGCACAGTGCCCTCTGTGCCTACAGGGAAAGTTGGCCCTGTGGACGGACGGACAGACAGACACACACTCATCACTTTCACACTTGCCTTCAGAGCATGGTTTGCTCAAGGTCAGTCTCTGTCTCTATAGGTTCAATCCTAGGGACCTTCCTGGAGGAGGAGGACTTCAGTATAGGGGCAGGGGCAGGCCTCCTGCCCCAGCTCCTATGGGTTTGGCTGTGCATGGGTAGGTAAGATGGGCCTCGGCTTTCTGGCCCCATAGACGGGAGTTAGGTTGATTTTGCCCAGTAGGCTTGCCCAGAGCACCCTCTAAACAGTCCAGGGCTGACTTTGCCAGAGACAAACCTCAGCATGTCTTTCCTGCAGTAAAACCCCTGCCACTCTTTCCCTACCATCTTCCCATCCATTGAGCAAGAAGGTCGATGGCTGTGGGTTTGAGAGTCCCCTCAGGCTCTACAACTTAATAAAAAAAGAGGAGGAGGATGCTATACTCCACGCTTCCATGCACAATATCTCAGTTATGCTCACACCACATCAGCCCTATAAGTAGGTTCCGTTACGATCCCCATTGTCCAGGGGAGGAAACGGAGGCCCAGGGAGGTAGTCCGAGAGCAGTGCTTCTGGCTGCTAGAATGATCCGGAGGCACCTGGGGATCTCTTGTAACACAGCTGTGTCCCCATCTTCTGCCTTCCCAACAATACCTCCAGTGATGCCAGCTTCAGCTCCTAGAGAACGGTCTGCCAGTGTTTCTGAGGCTTGCAGGAGGGGCTAGCATGCATGTGTGTGTCCTGTTGGAACTGTGGCCTCTCTAAGGGTAGAGCCTGACTGGTTAGTGACTGCTGCCTCCGGTGCCCAGCATTGAAGACTGAGAGTAACTGGCTGGACTAACTTCTCATGGAGCAGTCCCGGAATCTTCGTGGAGGGAGTGACCTGGTGTCTCAAAGGATCAGAGTGGTCCAGCCTGGTGACTCTGAACTTGACCTACATTCTGCATTCAAACTGCAGACTCACCATGACCCATGAGGCCAGGCATGACCTCACCCAAGCTAACTATCCCATCTCACTTCTTCCTCCTCCCTTTCATGTCCCAGGCCATGATCTCTCCCTGATTATAGGAGCTTTGCATGTGCTCTGTCCTCTTCCCAAAAAAACATTCTTCCCTTTGCTTCCTCAGCCTCATACTCCTCCTGCAGGTCTCAGTTCCCATATCCCCTCCTCCAAGAAGCTCTCTATGGGTCACTCCCCCTCCCCTAGGGCCCAACCTCAGCACAGCCAGTCTGGATTCATCACTGTCTGGGGTCTGGTCTGTCTCTCCCATTGGGAGACCTGTAAGGCCTGGGTGCTTGTAGGTGCTCAGTAAGTGTGTGTTGATGATGTGAATGTTCACATCCACGATCTCTGACAGATTGTCCGGCAGAAACGTATGGCCAGATTGACTAGATGGAGGGGGAGGTCTCAGACCAGTTGTGAAGCGGGGAGACTGTACTTGGCTTTGGCTGTTGGGGTTGGCCTCCAGGTGTTGGTGACCCATCTGCCTGTCTGTCCTTCCTGCCTGTTCCTAGGACAGAACTGATCTGGGTCTTCTCAGAAAGGGGAGAGGGCACACAGACTTATTGGGGTGGGAAGGAGGAGGCTTGGCTTCCAGAATCCAAATGGAGGAACTCAAAAGACCCACAGGGAGACAGCACAGTATGTATGCTCTCACCTTGGAGCTCTGTTGCACAGACACCCAGATAGGTAAGCAAGTACACAGTTGCACACAGAGAGCTAAACACACAGTTGTGCACACACATCACTGAATTTTGCCAACCACACAGTTACAGACAAGCACAAACCTGCGGGGCCAGCCACCCCCATCTGCAACCCCTAGGACTGTGGACTCAGGGAATTTCTTCGCTACCCCGACTTGCACAGAGGGCCACCCACAGCCCACAGGCACAAAGAGCTTCCACAGACTTGCTCAGATTTGCATCGGAACTGACAGAACCAGGCATCCATAGGCACAAAGATACGCAGAATCACACACCCAGCTCCCATCACTACACAGCTGCTCTCACACACCACGCATGCGCACAGTCGCACACAGCTTCACATTTGTGGGCTCGCAGAATCAGAGCTAAGCTCCTCTGGAAGGCGAGCCGTCCCTTCTGCCTTTGTCTGGAGGAGTCCGTGTCTTG